ATAATAATAATAATAATAATAATAATAATAATAATAATAATAATAATAATAATAATAATAATCATCATCATCATCATTATAATCATAATAATCATAATAATCATAATAATCATAATAATCATAATAATAATAATTATAATAATAAATTAGAAAAAATTGAAGGAAAAAAAATAACATTTACTTCTCAAAATAGAAAAAGAGACCGTCACAAAAGAAGTGATAGCGAACTTTCTAATTCTTCCACATCAAGTCTTACAAGCATAGAATTTCTTTCAAGTGACAGTGATTTTGATATACTATTAACACCCACTAGTACAAATAAAGATAACAATAATAATAATAATAATAATAATCATAATAATAATAATCATAATAATAATAATCATCATAATCATAATCATCATAATCATAATAATCATGGTGATTATGATAATGATAAAGATGACACTGATTCGGACATTCCTAGTCAATCAACTGATTTACCGAGTTCATTTGACTGGAGTGATTTTTATATGGGACGTAATACTCGACGTAGTATGCGTAATGATAGATTATTAGATAATTCAGAAATTTTCAACGAATTAAAAACAAAGTTTAAACCAGGGACACAAATTGAGGCACGAGATAGATTAAAGGAATGGGTACCATCCTCCATAATAGACTCTAAAGGATGTCGCGTGTTAATTCATTATAATGATGTACCATCGTTCTATGATGAATGGGTTGATATTAGTAGTGATCGACTGCGCACGAAATCTGTCAAAAAAGAGGATTCAAATATTTCAAAAAGTACATCATCATTTTCTTCTACATCGATTTGTAGTAGAAAGGAATCGAGTAAGAAAAAAATTAAATCAAAATCTAATGCTGACGATTCTATGTCAGAATTAGAATTTGTAGATATCGATACGTTACCTGAAGAGTTTCCAGGTAAATTACATAAATTATAAAATTTATTATTATTATTATATATATATATATATATATATATATATTTTAAAAAAAATAATTATCAATTCTATCATATTCTCAATATTCTCAAATATTTTCAATATTCTCAATATTCTCAATATTCTTAAAATTTTATCTCAATTAATAGTAAAACAAAAGTGGTGTATATATTGTAATCAATGCAATGTAGTCATAAAGCAATTTAGGTAATTAATAATTAATATATATATATATATATATATATTTCAAATTTATAATTTTTTTTTTTTTAATTTTATCTTTAATTTCAAATTTTTTAGATATTATTGTACTTATTGTGAAACACCTTCAGAAGGCAACGACTACAAAAGTTTTGAATTATGTGTATGGTAAGAAAGATTCGTGAAACAAGTAAAAGTCACGTCTTTTTAAAAAGTTTTTAAATTTTTTTTATAATTAGGTGTTTTGCTCATCAATTTCCAAATTATCACGAACATCCACGTTGTTCATTCGCCGTTCAATCATTAATTGATGATGAGGCGATTAAAATTTCTTCAAAGGGTGAAGTTATTAAAATGTTTGATAAAGATGATTTTGACCCAAATTACAAAGATCCAGGTTTCGATTTTTTTAATCATGACGATGCACCATTTGACAATGATATGGGATATCTTTATCTTCAAGCTTGGAGTTCTCGTAAAATCTGTGGATTTTGTAATGATGATGATGCTCATCAACTTGGTGGATTTATTGGTCCTCAACCTTTTATCTCTAACACATATACGCGTCATGGTGAGAAACAAAAACTATTCTGGGCTCATCAAGCATGTGCTAAATATTCTCCTGAAGTTTTTGTTACAAAATCCAATGAATGGTATAATGTGACATTGGCTTGGAAAAGAGGTCGTGGCATGGTAACAAATAAAAATAAAATAAAATAATTATTAAAAAAAATATATATATATTATTAATCATTAAAAAAAATTACTAAAGATCTTTCTTTATATATATATATTTTAAAAAAAAAAGAAATGCGGAAAATGTAGAGAACGAGGTGCCACGATTGGTTGCTTTGAACCAAAATGTGCCAAAAGTTATCACCTTCCGTGTACCGATAAACCTCTTTCTCATTTTGAGATGGGTGTAATTTTTTATTGTCCAGCCCATGAAGCCCGTTACATTCAAAAAGGTTCTTTTTTTTTAAAAAAAAAATATATAAAAAAAATATATATATTAAAATAAATAAAATTTAACATATTTTATTCATATATATATGTGTATATATTTATTTAGACATGTACAATGAAATTTACAGGTGTGACGTTTGTTCTTGTGAACTTCAAGCAGACAAATGGTGGACTTGTAAGCCGTGCGAGTCCAATTTTTTTTCATCATTTGATTTATGTCCGCAGGTAATAAAATTAGGAATGTTGAGTATTTTTTTTTTAAAGTAATTAATCTGTAAATTATTATTTTAATTTGCATTTAAATATTTATGGTAATAATAGTGTTTCGATGAGAAATTTCCAGAAAACCATCAACACGGAAAAGATTCATTTGAAGAAATTTGTAAGACTAATCCAAATTTTTACTATTTATTATTATTATTATCTTTATTTATTTATCTTTGTTAATATTTTTAATCATATCAATTTTAATATCAATAATAGCTGTTAAACAAATTAAAGATGAACAAATCACAAAACAAGCAGCAATTGCTGTGGCTAGTCAGAAAGCCCGTAGTTCAGGTTTATATATATATATATAAATTTTTATTTTTTTTTAAAAAAAAACGAGTTGCGTAATATCATCAATTAATGCTCATTTATTAATTTTCTTTAGCATCACGAAAAAAATCCAAGAATTTAATTCATAGAAAAGGAGGCCGAGTTCAATGTTCATATTGTTGGGCAGAAGAATCACCTCGTTGGAGGAAAGGTAACATAATAATTATAATTTATAAATTATGATTATATGTTAATAAAAATCATTCAAAAATTTTTCTAAAATTATTTTTAAATTATAATTAATTAAAATATATATATATATGTATGTATATATTATAGGATATAATGGAGTATTAATGTGTGAAGATTGTTTTGAATTAGTTTTAGTTAATAATACATCAGGAGATTCAATATTAGAAGCCAATAAGCTTATGGTCACCAGTGAAGATTATTCTTATAGACCATATCTCACCAGAAATTCTTGTTCAGATGCTAAATTTGATAATTCTGAATCACAAGCAATGTATTTGGATACTTACGAACCAGCGGAAAATCAATTATTCTCATTACCTTTTGATAGTTCATATTTTGATATTCCAGGAAGAGCTCCTAGATGTTAGTATCGAACAAAAAACGAATGAATGAAGTACGATACTGTCGAATGTTATTATTCACACATACATATTATTATTATTATTTATTATTTTCTAGGGGCAACACATAGTGGTACCGATTATCATGGAACATGGTTACCACAAACTGTTCGAAGGTGATATTTCAATATTTTTTAATATTTTTAATTAAAAATTCTCAATTATTATTATCATTTTATTGCCATTATTGTTATAACGGAATTAATTGAATTAATTTTTAATTTTTTGTATTTTTTTTTAAAGAGCTTTGCTTAGATACACAAGGAAAAATGATAGAATCTTGTCGAATTTTCTTGGTAGAGGTAATAACTCTGGTTATTTTTTTTTTTATTTTTCTCACTATAATAAAATTAATATTTTTTTAATAATTATTATTAAATATTAAAATATTTTTCAAAAGGTACTGATGCTATAGAATGTTTTTTACTTGGTAGAAGGTATATTTTAATTATTATTATTATTATTATTATTATTATTATTATTATTATTATTATTATAATATTATATTATTAATAATATTTTAATGTTAATTAATTATATTAATATTCTTATTAATTAAAGACTTGTTGGAATAGATATAAATCCTGTAAGTTTTATTAATTAATTAATTCTTTCTTTCTTGATTTTATTTTTATTTATTTATTTTTATTCAAATTCATTCAATTTTTTTCAACACATAGTTAATTTCATAACTTTATTATTATTTATAGGCAGCGATTGCATTATCCCAAAGAAATTGTTCATTCGCTATTCCACCAAATCGAGGTATTACAGCTGAACATCGTCCTATAATTCTTCAAGCTGATTCAAGACAATTGGTTGGTAATATTTTCGAAGATGATTCTTTTGATCATATTTTAAGTCATCCTCCATATAAGAATTGGTAAGGAATAACACATAAATAAAAGGAATAAATAACTTGAATTTTTTTTTTTTATCTAACTTTTTTTTTTTTTTTTTTTTTTTTGCTTTTTAAAAAAGTGTTGAATATTCAACTCATATTGATGGAGATTTATCAAGATTTTCAAATTCTAAAGAGTTTGCGATGGAAATGTCTAAAGTTATTGAAGATTCTTGGAGGTAAATTTTGAATAATAACAATTGTTTAAAAATAAATTTTTAAGAAAAGTTTAAAATAAGCTTAAATGATTTAAATAAGTTTAAATAAGTTTAAAATAAACATGAATAAGTTTAAATAAGTCAATAACTAAATTATTTTCTATGAAAATTTTTAATAGAATGTTAAAACCGGGAAAAAGAGTTACTCTTGGTATTGGTGATAATCGGGAACATTGTTTTTATGTTCCCGTTAGTTTTAATTTATTTCGACAATATATGGATCAAGGATTTGAACTAGAGGAATTGGTAATTTATTCTTCTTTACATATAAATAAATTAAGAGAGATATTTAAATGGATACATATATTGTTGAAAAAGATTTATTTACTAGTTAAAAAAAAAAAATTGAAATACTTTAAACAGGTAGCGAAACGACAAAGATATTGTCAAGCATTTGGACTTGGTACATATCTTTGTGTACAGTATGATTTTTTGATGTTTACTCATGAATTTATTGCAACTTTCAAAAAAGTTAATCAAAAGAATAATGATCGGATGTTGGTTGAAATGGGTAAGTAAACTATTCATAATTAATCAATTAATTTATTAAATTGTTAATTATTATTATTATTATTATTATTAATTATTATTTTACGTAATTAGTTATTAATTAATAATTATTATTCGTAATAATTAATTTTTTATTATTTAGATAATTCAAAATATGAAAAAGATTTCATATTTGAAATCACTCTAAAAGGAATCCCTATACTTCCCATTGCACGTAAAAGTGTTGTTATGGGTACAACTTGGACATTTAAACCTACACCTACTCATTCCTTCGTACAACTTTGTACGTCAAGAATGGTAAATATTAAATTTATTTTATTATATGTTATTATTATTATTATTATTATCGTTGTTGTTGTTGTTGTTGTTGTTGTTTTGTTATTAAAAGTTGATATCTCATATCATTATGACAATTATATTTATACGAATTATGTGTAGCAACCAATGATTATTATTATATTATTATTATTATTATTATTATTATTATTTTGATATTGTTATTGATTTTGTGAAGTTTACAATAATGATTTTATTATATTAAGCTGACGGTGATAATAAATGATAATAATAATAATAATAATAATAATAATAATAATAATAATAATAATAATAATAATAATAATAATAACAACAATAATGATAGTAATAATAATAATAATAATAAAAATAAAATAATAACAACCAAATAATAATATTGAAATAATAGATTGAACGATTTGGCAGGGATTTTGCTAATTATGAAGAAATAATAATAAAATTTAATAACTTAGAGGTAATAAATTATTATTATTATTATTATTATTATAAAGTAATCCATTCCTCAATAAAAGTAATCCATTCCCAACTGAGAAAAAAGGACTAAATATTTATTATCCTTTTTTTTTATTTATTATAGACGAATAATATTATTAATAATTATAATAATTATAATAATTATAATAATTTTAATTTTAATTTTAATAAGAATAAGAATAATAATAAATTTAATAATAATAATAATAATAATAATAATAAATTTAATAATAATAATAATAATAATAATAATAATAATAATAATAAGAATGATAAGAATGATAATAATAATAATAATAATAATAATAATAATAATAATAATGAGAATGATGACAATAATAACAATGAGAATGATGATAATAATAATAATAATAATAATAATAATGGTTAGTTAAATTATCCTTTTAATTTTAAAGTTTAATTTTAATTTTAATTTTATTTTAACTATTTTAACTTCACTAAATTAATTTTAAATTTTCAATATTTAATGGCATAGATAAAGAAGACAGTGATGACGACATTCCGGAATATGAGAAAATAAGACAAAAAAGAATTCAAGAAAATCAAAAAATGTTACTTTCACTAGTTAGTGCTAATTTAATAATTCTTATAATTTATTTATTATCGTTATTTATTTTTACTTATCTTTACTTATCTTTACTTATCTTTATCGTTATTTATAGGGACTCAAATGTGATTTAGGAGAAGAATCCGATGACATTTCTCACCTAGAAAAATTATTAAAAAGTAAACCTTTACCATATCCCACACCTACAGCATTAATAGTTGTTCCACATATTCCAAATAATTTAATAGAATCATCACCTCAAGTTATTCCTGTATATCGAGCTGCAATTAAGAAAATAGCTCAAGAAGCATATTTAAAATTACCTCCTTCAGGATTTTTAGTTATTGGTAGTCAAGATGTGAGAACCATTCATGATAAAAAATTATGGCCACTCGGTATGTTATTTATGGAAGATGTTGTGAAAATAGTTGGGGAAGATAAAATGCCTTTAAAAGAACTTGTAATTACTGTACCTGATGGTTACGCTAAAGATAAGAAAAAAATTTGTTCTAAAGAAGAATATGTTGAAGAAAAATGTATTGTAAATGAAGAAGAAAATGCTGTACATTTGCCTATCGTTCATGTAAGTTTTATATTTATTAAATTCATTTTTTTTTATTAAATTTATTTATTTAATATTGTTAATGTTAATATTTTATTTTTTAATTATTTATTATTATTTTAGGCATGTTATCTTATATTTATGAAACTTAGATAATAATAAAATTTGTTAATAAATAAATAAATAAATAGATTAATTAAGTGAATATTAAAAAAAAATATTATATCTGTTATTTATTGTGAATTTTTCCATGAATCAATTATTCCATTCACATTTGTAGAAAATCGCTCATGATAGACACGACTTTATTAATTATAATATTTATAATATATATAAACTGTGATAAAATAACTTTTTCAAATTCGTACGACGCAGCTTGTTTTTATCTTTTATTATTTATTTTTTTTAGACTGTGCCTTTTTAGATTAGATCAGTATCCATTTTAAGCGAAAAAGTAGATATAAGAAGCAATTTGTATTTGGAAGCGTTTTATTTTGTTAAATAATAATAAAAAAATAATATCAAGAAATCAACGCTCTTGTCTTCACCGCTTCGCTTTACTTCTCTCTGGGATTTATAAAAAAATCGTTTATCTAACGAGGCGCAGATGTGTTTTTTTTATGCTACATTATTAATAATAATTATATATATGCGTGTACAATTCAATAATTAATTTAAATAAACAAAAAATAAAAATATTAAGAAATAATAATAATAATAATAACGCACTCTCTTTCCCCAAGTTTATTTTCATTAACGGAGATTGGAACAGGTCCAACATTTAATAAATCCTCGGGTAACTCAACTATATAATATTAATGATTAAAAAAATATATTTTTTTTAGTCTTTTAAAAAAAGGAAAAAAAAAATGAAATTTATTTCAAAATTTAGAATCATACCTTTTTTCTCAATCCAAAATTCATCCATCTTCTCCAATTCTCTCTCATCAACATTTTTAATATCTTTTCCATTTTACACTGTCATGAACTTGATTTTTCTTTTCATATGATTCATTGAAACTGGCATAATCATTTTCACCACCACTGCTCGAAGTTAATTTCTTCTTCTTTAGATTGTTTGTGATGTTTGTGAGAGTTTGATTTCTTATACTTTTTAGATTTATACTTTTTTGATGTTTCCTCTTTTTTTGAATTACGTTTTTTATCATCTATTTTTTTTTTTTTTAAAAAAAATTATTTAAAAGAACATGTAATTCTGTTACATTATATATTCTTACTATCTTTCGTTCTTTCAAAACTGATTTTATAAATATTTAAACTCTACCCTCTGAGGATATTGACGAATGACTGAATCACTGATACTTCGAGATTGTTTCTCCTTTGGTAATTCTGATTTATCATATAGTAACCTATATAATGGGTAAAGTTTTTTTTTTTTTTTTAATATAATAAAAGAAAACATATATATATATACACATGTAAAATAACGTTGCGTACTTGAAAATATTCTGGGGATGGTGGCCAAATGGAATAAGTCTCTTGACGAATTCGTCTGCGTCTGATAATAATAATAAATTGAATTAGACAGAAACAAATGATTCAAGGAATAAATAATTATAATCGAATAAAACTTACTGTTCAAATATCGATGTAGATTGTTTTTAAAAAAAAACTTGTTATTTATAGTGTATGTGAGTGTGAAAAAAAATATAAATGCTATATAATCATTCCTAAACTTACATTTAGAATTTTCACCAGCAGTATTGATTTATCTCAAAGAATTTAAAAGCAAAAGACTTCGAATAACAAATTTGTACCTCAACACTAGTTTGTCACAAAAATCCCCCAATTATTTTTAACCATTATACGCAGTAAAAATTATACATGTATTTTCATTTTTTTCTTTTCTTTTCAGATGTATGCGTGAACTCAATCAATCAAAAATAATGATGTAATGAACATTTTCAAATAAAAAATAATGATTTTAATACTTTCAAATTTTATTATTTTATTAAATTCATTAATAAGAAAATATTTACAAAAATATAAAATAGCTAATTCAAATTTTCTTTTTTCTATTTTCCGCTTTTCTATCAATAAAATTATAAAATGCTTACATTATCATCGTTTCTTGGTTTCCAGTTCGCGTTTGAAAATCTACAAATAGAGAGACGACGCACAGGTGTAGGCCTATACGCCGCCATTAGAATTAAACAACAAACAAACAAATAGAATAAATAAAATAAACACCTCACATCTAAATCTTCTAAATCTTCTAAATCTTCTAAATCTTCTAAAGTTTATTTCTTCCAAACCTACCTCAAATATCGTTGTCCTAATAAGATGTGAAAAATAAAAAATAAAATAAAGGTTAATATTTTATTCTTTAATATTCTTTAATAATCTTTAATAATAATAGTAAAAGTAAACTTGAAATTAGAAAAGCGGAAAAAATGAAAAAAGAAAACTTAGAACAGAGAAAGTGAAGTGGGAATAGCTGAGGAATTTATTTGATCAGTATTAATTATATAGTCTTAATTATGTCATCGAAACTTTTAAACTTTTCGAATCTTTTTGTTTGTTTTTCAAAAAAGGAAATTTGTATGAGATAATCTGAGTTTTTTCAAATTTCAGTTATCAGTTATCTTAATTACAGATCAGCATATGCAGCATATGATTATAGATAAAATCGATATCAGTTTTTTTTTTCTCCTGAAAAAAAAGTATTTAAATCCCCACTTTTTCCACTTCCTTTTTTTTTCTTATTCTCACTTTCTCATTTTTTCTTCATTTTTCCCGTTTTTCCTCATCTTTGAGTTTTTATTACAAATATTTAATCTTTAAATTTTTTTTTTCACATCTATTAGGACGACGATATTTGAGGTAGGTTTGGAAGAAAGAAACTTTAGAAGATTTTGTAAATTTAGATTTAGAAGATTTAGATGGTGAGGTGGGTTTTTTCTATTTATTTTATTTATTCTATTTGTTTGTTTGTTGTTTAATTCTAATGGCGGCGTATAGGACTACACCTGTGCGTCGTCTCTCTATTTGTAGATTTTCAAACGTGAACTGGAAATCAAGAAACGATGATAATGTAATAATGTAAGCATTTTAAAATTATTAATATCATGGGAAAAACGGGAAAAAATTCATTTATTTAATGTTTATAGATGCATATAGTAGCATATTATTTTATTTCTCTTTAATTTATTTTTTTGACATTTGTACGATATAAGAATAAATACATATCATATTTTTAAGATGTACGTTAAAAATCAGAAGTTTATCTTCTAAATTAGAGATCCGTTAATGTTCTTCTTCGCAGCTTGTTTTATTTGAAAAAATTTTCAAAGACGATCTAGACCTCCCAGTCTAGGATAGTATAAGGATCCTCATTTCTTAATTATATAAACGCGTTTTTTTCCCTTTTTCATTCTTTTTTTTCAACTTTCTTTCTTAACGATAAATTATAAGTGTGAAAATAATTTATTGTTATATTTTCCCTTTTCCGCTTTTTTATTCTTTTGCTCTAAGTTATATAACTTTTAAATAATAATATTATAATTTCTTTTTCTTTTAGTTATAACTTTGTTGACTATATTTCATTGATCTCATAAATAAATAACTGTAGAAAAGTGAGGCATTTATTCTATCTATTTAAGGTTTTTTTTTTGTTTTTCTTCCTTTATTACTCTATTATCTAACTCTTCTCATATCTTTTCCATATTTATCAAATGCCCATGAAAAGACTGGGAGGAATGGTTTCATTATTTTTAAAGCGAAATTTGCAAAAAGAAAGAAGACCTCCATACGAGAAGATCTCCGCCACTGCGTAACATGAGTGCCCGCGTGATGCTTAGGCCCTTGACCATAACTGTTAGCACAGTGAGGATATGAGTGCCAAAGTGGGGAGTAACAAAGATGCCTTGATGCCGTTTACATGTAAGAAGTGTAAACAATGACTCAAGTTATTGGGTTGGCTGGTTGCAAAGCTAATTATAAATTTAAACAATATTCACACCCAAAAATGGATAAAATAAAAAAAATGGATAAAGATATTCACTGCGATAAAAAATTATAATAAAATAATTAATCGTCACTCGAACGTTTGTGTTTGCCTCATTGGAGACATTTTCACTGCCCATTTGCTTCTAAGAGTTTATATGTTATTTGTTCAATTTCTCTCGCTTAAAATTCATTCAGTTTCCTTTGAGATTCTTCGATTTGGATATTTATTTTTCTCGCTTCGACATCACCTTTAGTATTGTAATAACTACCGTTGAAGTAATATCGGGTGAGAGTTTGAGAATATACATATATTTGTTGAAAACCTCCTCAGTTTAGTTTTATTTGACACGTATTACACCTCATTTGATTTCCCCAATTAAGAATACGTATGTATTTTGTGCCATAATTTTTTCGACTTTGCTAAATAATATACATGTATCTATTTTATTTTGTCCAAATATATATTCAAATATCAATTTAGATATAGAATACGGTATCATCAAAATTAAGTCAGAATAAATACTGCATTAATCATGCGTTGCGAGGCAAGTTCACATTATTTATGTTGTCTAAATTTAAAAACCTTTGACTCAATTAATTGTGTCAAGACATTATCATCCCTGAAATAAATTCGAATAATCTGTATAATATATCAATTTTGTATTTCTCACCAAAAAATTATTTATTTTTATTTTTACACCTTTTAGCTATGGATTGACATTTCATCATTTCATCATGTATACACCAGAAAAGATTTACTATGTGAAAGACAACTATCATGTTCCACTTACCGAAAAGATTTTTGAGGATGATATAGAACGTCGACGAGATGTAAAAAAAGTTATGGAGGTAATTATGGGTTTGTTAAAGGATCGAGTTAATGTAGATGATTTACCAATTGGTAAGAGGGCTAGAACGAAGAAATATATTAAGAAATCTTAGGATAGAATTTCTTCATGTATTCTATATTTGCATTGTCACTTATGTGTTTACGTATTGTTTACATAAACTTCATGTTACTTGTAATATTCCGCAATGACTTAGCATCAATAATTTAGCGATTTTTTAACATGTATACTTGGAAAGATTTTTTTCGTAATATTAACAAAAATATTGAATTGTACATTTACTTTATGAATTTTCCAAGTTTTATGTCTCGAAGATAAGTAATACCAAACATATCTTAGGACAATCCAGTTTTCGTCGCACAATTCTTTCTTCCGTGCTTGCTGTTTGATAAAATTATTGGGATCAACTCTATGAAAGAATTTGTTACCCTTGTACTTCTATAGAAAAACTGTAATCATAATAGGAAATATCAAGTTGCAATCTTAATGGATGAACTGGAGTTTTTAAGAAATCAGATAAAGATATTTTGAACAATTTCACGGCACAATTCTTCACATTTATATTTGGAACCATATGGGACACCATGTAACATTTTTATTGTTAAATCGAGACGTCCTCTAATGCACTACCACTATATGCGTTCTACTTAACATATTCAAAAGTGTAAGAAAACATTCTGGGCACCGTGATCCAATATTTTTAATTTGAGAAAATGAAGCAACCCATTCATGACTTTTAACACAACGCCATTGCAACTTAGTATTATCATTATTAATGTATTTACTAGAAAGGTGTTGACCATTTTTTGCTGTCTAGCATTTTCAATTATACAACGACCATTTCCTGCACAATGTGGACACCATGATCCACTATTTTTAATTTTGAGCAAGCAGTAATGGTATTATGGAATTAATGAAACTATTGGAAAGATACTGCCCACCTCGACTATAACATTAGATATCTTATTATTAATATATTCTGTTGTTGACCATGATTAAATATTAAAGAAAAATGTGAACAACATGCTGTCCATGTAAGTTTTACACTTATTTATATTTATTATATTTATTTTATTAATATTTATTATTATTTTAAGCATATTATCTTATATTTATGAAACTTAGATAATAATAAATTTGTTAATAAATAAATAAATTAATTAAGTGAATATATAATATTTATATCTGTTATATCAACACGACATGTTTTGTCTTTATTATAAAAATAAATCATATATCTAAAATTTATTAATTATAAATCCATAAAAATTACAGTATAAATGTATAAATCAATAAATTTAGAAATATTGTAATATGGATAGATAAAATGGATGAAAATGGATAAAAATGGATAAAATGGATAAAATGGGTACTGCGATAAATTAAATAAATTATAAGTAGTCGAAATAACTTAATTTAGGTCACTTGAATCCTTATTAGAGATGTTTTCAATTCCTATTTGCTCCTAAGAGTTTATATGTTATTTGATTAATTTCTAACGTATAAATGTCTCGTTTTCTTCGAGATTCTTCCATTTTGATTTCTATTTTCTCGCTTCGACATCGCCTTTAGTATCGTAATAACTACCATTGAAGTAATATCGGGATCGAACATTAGTTCCAATATTGTTCATACGCTCACTAGACTGCATTAATCTATTAGTCATTAATTTCGTATAACTAATCATCTCATTGTCTCTAAGAAGCCTTAAATAGGCTAAGCGATCTTGTAATTCACGATAGTGTGTCAAATTTTGCCGATATGACATACTTTCGTCTTTTAATGACAAAAAAAAAATATTAACGCAAGTGAGAGTTTGAGATTATACTTATATATTTGTTCAAAAGCCTTATTTATCTTTATTTGAATAATTTGATACATATTATATCCTAATTTAAGAATACGTATGTATGTTGTTCCACTTCGCTAAATAATATATACCAATGTTGAATGAGTTCTACGCGATAAATAGAAATCTAATTAATAAATTTTAAATTAAATGCCTGATTTTTTTAATTTATTTTGATTGATTGATTATTTTGAACCAAATAATAATCATTGATTAATTGCGGGTAAAACCTATTCAGGTTCAAAAGATAAAAGATGATAGAAAAAAATTGCTTTTTCACCCATCATATAAATTTGTATTAACCAAATTTATCATTGTTTCATTATAGATTTTAAGAATATATATATATATATGTATAAAATTAAATTTATTAAAAAGGAAATAATTTTTTTCATGAACTAATTTTACTATTAATCTTTTAAATTTTTAACAATAAATACGTCCATACTACCATGATATCTAACATGCACATAAAATCGATAATAGTAACAACTATCATAGTTTATTTGTGGTGTGGTTTTGTATAATTGAAAATTGATTATTATTTTGTTTTCTCTTGAAGAGAGTTATGTGTATATATATATATATGGAACTTTTTGACATGAACATTTTGAAAAGTTTTCATTTTAATGAATATCATTTTTAGTTAATCCATATATTAAGTCAAGTCATCAATCAATCAATTAATAATTTTCATTTTTTTCAGAATAGTTTTATTTCCTATAAATAACAAACCATCTTCTGTTACGCCACCTGTTTCTGTTTCTTAGATATATTAGGTAACTTTCGTTAATTGAATCATTTTTATTAATTATAATTTATAGGTTGATTATATTAATTTATATGCAGTGGCGAGAGTAAAATTTCTACTAACAAGTGGTGCTATAATTTAATAATAATATATATTAGATATTTTAGATACGGCATGTAATTAAAAATATTAGTAATATTGTAATCTTTTATCATATAGAAATATTATATTAGGAATTTTTTTTTTTGAAAAGGAAATTGTTTACGTGGTACTACTTAAATCAAATATATACATGTATTATAAACTATAAAATACTGTAAATTAGTTGTAAAATCATGTGCTTTATTCCGATTTCATAATTTGCTTAAAAATTTTTCTTCAATTTTGATATTCTACCAACTGGGTGGCTTATAATTATCACGCCACCAACGCGAACGCGTCTTTTAGCATCAAAAATACTTTAACTCTTACCTTCTTCCTTTTTCTCCTTCGCGTTCTAAAAAAAAAAAAATGCACATCAAGCAGGTATGATATAATTCAAAAAAAAAATGGTTTTTTCGTTTGAACCACAAAGTGAGCTAAATCGAATGAATGTTTATTTTTGATCTAGATTATTATTCACGGCTTTAAATCTTATAAAGAACAAACTATCATAGATCCTTTTAGCCCTAGACATAATGTTGTTGGTATGTGTGTAGTCGTTTAGTTGGGAACTTTAAAGAATTTCAATTGTTATTGAAATGAGATTATTCTTTAAAAATAATAGTGGGGCGAAATGGATCAGGCAAAAGTAATTTTTTTGCTGGTAAGAGATTTCTTATTATATTGAAAGAATAATGATTCCCAGTATGATAGATCTATCCTCCTTATTTATTTATTTAATGATTTTTTAATTTCATAGCTATCCGATTTGTGTTGAGTGACGCGTATACTAATATGGGTAAAGAGGAACGTCAGGCTCTTTTACATGTAAGTTTCGATGTTGTTCCGTGAACTTTATAAAAATCTGTTATTAATCTTGTGATTTCACGTGAATATCCAATAATAATAATAATAATAATAATAATAATAAATATTGTAGGAAGGAACCGGGCCTCAAGCTATTACTGCTTATGTTGAAATTATATTTGACAATAGCGATAATCGATTTCCTGTTAGTATTCGAACATATTAACATATTATGATTAATCAATATACGTTCTTCGATTTTCTCAATTTTCTTAATTTTCAGACTGGTAAAGATGAGGTGGTACTAAAACGTAGTATAGGTTTGAAAAAAGATGAATATACATTAGATGGGAAAAGTGCAACGTATGTTTAAAATTACCAAATGACAAAATTTCAATATACTGTTAAAATAATTATATAATTATATTATTAATATTCTTTCTTAATATTTTTTTTTTTTAAAAAAAAAAAATATGATGTTTAATCATTTTAGGAAAGCCGATGTAATGAATTTACTTGAAAGTGCTGGTTTTTCACGTTCAAATCCGTATTATATTGTCCCGCAAGGGAGGGTAAAGTAGTTAAATAATTTAGAATTATTTGCGAAGTTATTCTCGTTTTTTTTTTTACGATAATGTACATTTTGAAATCATATTTTTGATGATGATATCTGTAAATGTAATTAATTTAAATTTAGATTACTGCATTGACAAATGCTAAAGATCACGAACGATTACAATTATTAAAAGAAGTTGCTGGCACAAGAGTATATGAACAACGAAGGCAGGAGAGTATGAAAATTATTGAAGAAACAGGTCGATTATTTTTTATCATATATATAAAATGATTTCCTCTTTATTTTTATTATATATATAATGTTTTAATAATAATGTTTCATATATGTAAAATAAAATAAAAAAAAGATTCAAAAAGATCTAAAATCGAAGAACTTCTCAGATACATTGATGAACGTCTTAATGAACTTGAACAAGAAAAAGAGGAATTACGACATTTTCAGGATATGGATCGTGAGAGGCGATGTTTAGAATATGCAATATTTCATCGTGAGCAATCAGATATATTACATCAATTAGCTGAAGTAAGTTTGTTGAAGTTATTAAATATAATTGTAAAATATTATGATCATCAATAAATTCATGTTTTTTTTTAGATGAATGAATTACGAGAAAAAGGCGTTCACGGTTCAAATCAACAAAATATAGAGTTTAATGATTATGAATTAGCAATTTCTGTGAGAAATTATATTTTTATTATGACATTCCTTATTGATTCACGAATGTTTTTTATTTATTTTTTATTTTTTATTTTTTTTTTTAAAAAAAAAAGAATATTGAAAGTGAAATAACGGAAATAAGTGAGAAAGTTGATTTACTCAAAGTTGAAAAAAGAGAACTTGATGAAGACATACAAGAACAAATTAAAGCGCATGCACAAATCGAGTTAGCCATTAAAGACATAGTAGATACGTCTCGACAGAATGTGGAGATACGAGTAATTGATTAATTAATATATATAAACTTAAATCTTATTTTTATTATTTTTATTATTTAACTTTATCAAAATTTATTCAGAAAAAAAGAGAAGTCGAACTTCGAAATGTTGAAGCAGATATTTCACGAAAAGAAGCGGGATTGATGGAAATAATACCAAAATACGAACAGGAGGTTTCAGAAGAGGTCACACTTAAAGAAAGGTATCAATATTGTTTCTTTTTTTTTTTAAAAAAAAACAAACTAATGAAAATTAAAAAAAAAAATTAATACAGATTGGAAGATTCCGAGATGCAACGTCAAACGCTTTATGCTAAGCAGGGTCGTAGTTCTCAGTTTCGAACCAGAGAACAAAGGGATGCGTGGTTAAGGCAAGAAATACGCGAGATTGATAAAACAAAGTCTACACAGAGTCTACAGGTGTTTCAAAAAAAAAAAAATCGTTATTCAATTACGATAATAATTCTTAGAATCTTATTAACATCACATTATACATTAGGTTGTTGAACTAGAATCTCAAATAAATGAATTATCCGAAAATATAGAGAGAGTTTTGGGAGAAATTCATGATACTAGAAATAAGTTAGAACAACGAAAAATAAATATTGAAGAAATGAATAACGAATATAACGAGATGAAATCTCAAAGGGATAAATTAACTGAGCAACGAAAGTTCGTAATTAATTAATTTATTATTATTCATGAAGGGGGCGAAAATAAATGTAATGAATTTTAATACGATTGATATTTATATATAAACAGAGAACTTTGGAAAGAGGATGCACAATTAGAAACAAAATTAGTTAATGCGCGTGATCAATGGAAAAATAATGAAAGAACATTGGCCGGTTCAATGGATAAGGTAAAGATTCATTTTTAATAATAAATTTTTTTTTTTAAAAAAAATATATATATCAATTCATTCATTTATTTCCTAGTTATGTTTTACTCTTTTTTTTTTTTAATTGAATCGCTGTAGAAAACCTTTATTTTAATTGCTAGGTTAATCAATATTCTCATTTTCTTGTGTCCCGCTATAGAAAACAAACAATGGTTTAAATGCCGTTAGACGTATAGCTGAGCAATTTCGAATTAGGGGCGTGTATGGTCCTCTTTATGAATTATTTGAATGCTCCGATTCGACAATGTGGACTGCGGTTGAAGTTACAGCCGGACAAAGGTATTAAAAAAAAATTTTTTTTTTACTTATTCAATGAATTTTGTTTCTATAAAAAGAACCATAATTTCTTATTAATAATTTTATTCTTCTAAGTTTATTCCATGTAGTAGTTGATACTGATGATACTGCCAGTCGAGTTTTGGATGTTCTCAATCGTGAGCAAAATGGACGTGTGACATTCGTGCCTTTGAACAGATTACGAACAAGAAGATTTGAATATCCTCAAGCTGATAATGTACAACCCATGATCGATGTAGTAAAGTTTGATAAAACATATACGAAAGCGGTTGAACAGGTGATATACGCTCAAAATCATAATTATGAAATTTATTAAAAAGAAATAATATTAAATCTTTTCAAATATATATATATATATATTTCGTATAAATAAAATCATCTATTAATGATCGAAAAGGTATTTGGAAGAACAATAATTTGTGATAATTTGGAAATTGCATCACAATTATCCAAAGATCATGATCTAAATGGCATAACGATAGATGGTTCGTAACATACTGATTAATTAAAAAAAAGTATCATTATCGATTTTATTTTATCCTTTCGTTAAAAATAATAGACTTTATTTTAAATAGGTGATCGAGTTGAACGTAAGGGAGCACTTACTGGAGGTTACCATGATGTTCGTAGACGAAGATTAGAAGCCGCAACTAATCTGAAAAAATGGAGAAAAGAACATTCGGATTTGGATCAACGAGCCAATGCTGTGAAGAGTGAAATAGCTCATATCCTTTATGTATCTAAAAAATGAATTCTTTTTTAAATTTATTTACATATTATTCTTTAACTTTCCATTATTATTATTTTTTTTTTTTTTTACTTCTAGACCAACAAATTACACTTACATTAAGTTCTATGCAAACTCTCGAAGCTAAAAGACGTCAGGCACAAGATAGTCGTGATCCACTTCTGTTCGAACTAAATTCAAAAATAAAGGAAGAGACAAATTTGAAAGAATCAAAAGCCAGCAAAGTACATGATTTTTTTAAAAAAAAAAAAAAAAAAAAATATTATGTACATAAAAATAATTATTTACTTGATTTCTAGAAAGTTTTCACGATTTTTTTTTTTTAAAAAAATATAGGAAAAGTCACTTCTGAGTCTTCAAAGCAGTATAAAGATGCTCAATTCACAAAAACAAGCTCATCAACGAGAAATGAATACCGATCTTACTCAGAATCTAACTCCACAAGAGTTAAGACGGCTTGAACAACTTAATGTTGAAGTTGAGAAATTAGGAAATGAATTGTTTAGAATATCTACTTCAAGATCTGAGGTTCGTCATATCTTCTAACAATAAGATACTTCTATTATTATTATTATTATTATTATATACTTACTTACATTTAGATATTTCGGTTTTTAGCTTGAAGGACGAAAGAACGTATTAGAAAATGAATTGAATGCAAATTTACGAAGGCGTCGTGAAGAATTATTGATACATATTGAGAGTTTGGCTACAAACGATGATTATGAACAAATGCGTCGTACCAAAATTGAATTAGAAAGGATAATTAAAAAAATGTCAGATCGTGAACAAGGTAAATGTAATTTTTTAATTTTTGAATTAAATGGATTACGTTATCGTTAATTGTGTATGTTGTGTTTAATTTATAATTCATATTAGAAATCGAGATGGAACTTCAAGAATTCGCTAATGCTTTGAACCAAAGGAATTCTGATTCTGAGCGATTAAAGGTACTTGAAATTAAAAATTGTTTATTTAAATTATTATTAAAGATTTATTTGAAATTATTGTATTATTATTATTATTATTAAATTCAAATATTTTAAATATTATTATTACGTTATTGAATTATCTCTGAAGACTGAACAAATCGAACGTCAACAAAAGTTAGAACGTCAGCAAAAGAATGTAGACAAGTTTCTTTCGAAACGAAAATTATTATTACAAAAGAAAGAAGAATGTAATAAAAATATTCGAGAACTTGGTGCATTACCTGAAGAAGCTTTCGAAAAGATTAAGAATACTGATCCCACCACAGTTTGTTATTCATTCTTAATGTTTTGTATGGATTGTTTTATATAACCATCTCTTTAATATATATATATATTTATTTATTTAATATTTTTTTTTAGCTTTTGAGAGATTTGCACAAAGTAAACGAAGGCCTGAAGAAGTATAGTCACGTAAATAAAAAGGCATTCGAACAGTATAATAATTTTAAGAAACAAAAAGAAACGCTTACTAAAAGGAAAATAGAGTTGGATCAATCTAAAAGGGTATTTATTATACCGATTAAAAAAAATAATAATAATAAAATAATAGAAATATTTTAGGCTTTTAATACATTTGTTAAAAAAGTTTATTTCTTTTTATTTTTAGGCAATTAATGATTTAATTGACGTCTTGGATCAAAGGAAAGATGAAGCAATTGAACGTACATTCAAACAAGTGGCTAAATATTTTTCTGAAGTTTTCGAAAAATTAGTTCCAGCTGGTAAAGGACAATTGATTATGCAAAGGAAAATAGATCACAGGGTAAAATTACTTTATTATATGATTGATCAAATATATATCTTTCTCTCTTAATATTAAAATCTCATTTATGAACATATATTAGGATCAAGATGATGATGAAGACGACGGCGAAATTGAGGAAAATGAAGGAGGATCTAGTGTAGACAATTATACCGGTGTTGCAATCAAGGTTTTCTTTTTTTAAAAAAAAAATAATTTATTTGAATTATTTTAAATTTTGATTTTAAAAAGAATAATTGTTAAATATTCATCTATTTCATTTTCATTTCTTTTTTTTTAAGGTTTCATTTAACAGTAAAACTGATGAAGGACTTCGTATGCAACAACTTTCTGGTGGACAAAAATCTTTGGTTGCTCTCACCTTAATATTTGCCATTCAACAATGTGACCCAGCACCTTTTTACCTATTCGATGAAATTGATGCTGCACTTGATGCACAATATAGAACTTCCGTTGCGTGTAAGTAAATCAAATCTAAAAAAAAAAAAAAAAAAATAGAATTTAGAAATGTAAAGATTTATAATAAACATTTTAATTAATTCAATTAATTTCGAATTCGATTAAAGCCATGATTCATGAGTTATGTGATAAAGGCCAATTTATTACTACAACATTTCGTCCAGAAATGCTTGCCAACGCCGACAAATTTTATGGTGTGACATTTTCAAATAAAGTTTCAAGCGTTAGTGCAATTACTAAAGATGATGCACTCAAATTTATTACACAGGTAAATTTTATTTATTACATTAAAAAAAAAATAATAATAAAAATTTCATTAAATGAAAACTAATTGATTTTTATAATTATTTTTATTTATAATTTCATTTGACAGGAACAACCACAATAAATTAATTAACGGAGATATATGAACATTATTTTTTTCACTCTTAATTAATGAAATTTAATTATTTCCCAAAAGAAAAAAAGGAGATGAATTTTTAAAGATAGTAAAGATCGTTACACTCTACAATTAATAAATTTGTTGAATAGAATTATTAGGTAGGATCTTCTTCGTTCTTTCTCTTTGAATGTAGGACATTATAAGCATTACCAATTTTCAACAACTTTTATTTTACTTTTTATTTTATCAAATTGTAAATTTTCTGCATATATGCATAATTTAAAAAAAAAACAAAGTATCAATAATTTCATATTTTTATTAACGACGACGATTTTTCAGAATAAACGAACAATTTTAGTTTTAAAATATATCCTGAATTTCGATACAATTATCAATAAATAAATTTATAATAATCAAAATTTCTAACAATCAAAGTTTCTTATTTTGTCAAACGAAAGATGATCATTCTATACGCACATGTAAGAGATCAAATCGATCTAAAATTCATATATGACAGAAATTGCGTAAAATTTATTAATACAAAATAATGTTAATATTGATGTTAATGTTTAATGTTAATATTGATACGTAATTGTCATAATAACATAAAAATGAATACTAAAAAATAAAAATAAAATAAAATGAATAATCGTAGTATTACAGAAATAACGATTAAATGCTATGGAGGATTTCAAATCGATCCATTCAATCCATTTGATTATACTATCAGATGCTAAAGTTTTTTTTTTGCTGACATTCTTGAATTGATTGAATTAATTGAATTAATTGAATTAATTGATCAATTTCATTATTTCCAGATGTCTAATTTTCAAAAATTTTCTAAATATTATAAAAAACACAAAATTCACAAGTATTGAAATATAATTATTGAAATCATGACCAAAATCCTGGTTGATTTGGTACTCTGTATGCATTTAATGTTTGTTGTTGAGATTGTTGATTAAATTGACTTTCTCGTAGATCATTAAGAGTCTTTGGTTTATTGGGATTTAAAATGCTTGTATCATTTAATGTCTGAAATGGATTTTTGCTTGGTTGACTACTAACAAAACCTCCTCCATCAAGATCAATTAGACTATTACTAGTGGCAACATTATTAGAGACGGAAAAAGGTGACGTTGAAAATGAATTTAAAGGCTATATATATATATATATATATAAAAACAAAAGGTTTTTAGAATATTAAATTTTCGGAGGAAGGGAACCCAGAAAAAAAATAAAAATAATGAAAAAAAAAATGAAAAAAATTAAGTTTACCTGATTTATATTCGAACTGAGTGAATTAGTTGTACCAAATGTACTAAATAAATCATCTTTAGTTGTAGTTGATTGATTGGTAAAAGAACTAGGAAAAGTGTTATAAGCTCCACTGCCAGCATTATTTGCAGAACTTGTGTCAGCAAGAAAAGGATTGGCATTATTTGTTATGCCAGAAAGATTACCCGCTGAATTTGATCGTCGCAGAGACTGAGAAGACTGATTAGCTAAGTTACCACTATTTGCAAAACCAGTTCCACTATTTAATAAATGCAATTTATTTATTTATTTATTAATATTTTATTTTTAAAAAAATCGTAATTGATATTTTATTTTATTGAATGATTGATTGATTGATTGATTGAACTTACGTTGGAACACGAAGATTGCCTATATTACCAAAGGTATCCATACCATCTCTGTTGTGATTATATATATATTAAAAGAAATGTTGATTAGAATTAAAATTAAAAATAAAGAAAAAAATTAATATTAAAGAAATTTACTTACCCCCGGTTACCAATAAGACTAGCCAATTTTGCATGTTTTTCATCATGTGGTCCGGGTGACTAAAATTATCCAGAAAAATCATTTGTAAAAATATGATGTATACTAATATTTATAAATACAAATTTTCTAACTTTTTTGAATTATCATTTAATTGATAAAATATCAAATCTCATTTTTTTTTTTTGAATAAAATACCTACAGATAAATCTGGTGAACTTAAATTAGATATGTAATTATTTCCAAATGTTGATAAATGACCCGATGAAAACGAAGGCGTTGTAAAGTTATTTTGTTGTGATTGCTGAGCAAAAGGATTTTTTGAGCCAACAATGGTAGTCGATTGTTGTTGATAAGGATTATTCAATAATTGTTGTTGTTGTTGTTGTTGCTGTAATAGTAGTTGCTGTTGTTGTTGTTGTTGTTGTTGTTGTAATAAATTGTTGTACGAATTGTTTGGAAGATGTGATTGATTAATGAAATTCTTTTGATCTAAATCAAAAGTATCAAATGGTGGACTGGAAGTTCCAATAAATTGAGTACCGAATTGTTGATTAACATTTATTGGGTTTCCAAAGAAATCTACTTGAGATTGTGGTTGAGGTTGAGGTTGAGGTTGAGTAAATTGATTACTAGAAAAATGGATAATTAATTAATTTTATTCATTCTAATATATAAAATTTTATAAAATTTATAAAATGAATGAATGAATGTAAAACTAATTTATTAACTAACCCCTGATCAAATAATGAAATTTCAGTTTGTCTTGCTAATTCAGCTTGCCTTCTTTCCTCTTCTTCCTTACTCAACTTTAATGCCTTCTGAAATTCTGCATCATCTTCGTTACTGATTTAACCCAATTTAAAAAAAAATATTATTAAAAAAAAAAATAATAATATATGTTATCAAAATAAAATAATATATATATATATATATATTGTTTTACCTATCTTTCCTTTCACTTTCAGCGGTCTTCAAACTTTCTTCCATGGCTCTTCTCATTTCCGCTTCTTCGTCATCATAATAACTAGAATTCTCATATGTGGGAGTGCTAGATAAACTTCGATCAATAGACCCTCCATATACTTCATTACGACCTCCTGTCATTCGATTTCTCATATCAGTTCGTTGACGCCTTTCGGAATTTAAACGGTCTTCATCTTGTAATAAATTAGTAATCTCTTTTGCTTTTTGTCGAACTTTAAATTAGTTCAAAATAAAATATAAAAAAATAGTTAATAAAAATAGTCATCAAGGAAAGTCGCTTCAATTAATCATTTATTTTGATCTCACCATAAATAAAGAAAATAAAGCAACTTACCGACAAGTCCTTGATCTTTTGAGTGTTCATCAATATATTGAAACTCTTGTAATGTTTTTACTATGTATATATTTTCCTTTGCATATGTAACGACCTCAGGAGAACCCTCATTAAGACAATAATGTAAAAGCGTAAGAGCCTAAAGTAAGAAAGAATTTATTTGAACATATCATTTAATACCTTGAAAAAAATTAAAATGATATTAAAGTATTCATTCTCCAATTACACTTACTTTAAATACATGCCTCCAATTTTTACCATGGTCATTTAACCTTTTATCAATCATTTCCATAATTTCTACAAATAAGTGACTATATATATATATATGTGTGTGTGTATATATACATCAATAAAAAGAAAGGAAGTAAGAAAGATAGTTGGAAATAAAGATTCGATAGAACATGTGATCCTTTTCATTTTACTCACGGATTATAGGTAGCTTGGGCAATTTCATACATTGCGCTACCACTAGGTCCCCATGGATTATTTGAAGTGGCTTTTCGTACTTTCGATTGTGTTTCCGAATATCCTTTTGTATAATTTTTTCTAAAATATTGTTTTAGATTGAATGGAGAGTCAAAAAATTAATATTTCTTGGTTGATTATCTAACTTTTGATGTTGATCCACTATAAACTCGATTTCGAAATGTTTAAAAGGTGAAAACATACATTGAGCGAACTGCATCCTTGGCCATATATTTTTTCGACATTGGAGCAAAATTTTTTTTTTAAAAAAAATAAACTTTTTATTTCTTATCCGAAAATTCGAGTTTCTATATTATAATTTACTATAATTAATTTTTAAAGTCATGCGCAATTGGATCGAGACTGAATCACATGTACTGTGCATAAAATTGATAAATACTTTTTTTACATTAAAATAGACATTATTGTATATCAGAAATAATAAATAGACTTATTAAGTACTTGTAATTGATCTGTGATCTCAAAAAAAATGTAATATTAATTAATAATTATGTGGTAACAAAAATGAATAAATAAATTCGTAATAAATTCGATATGCTTTTTATATTAAATGGAATTCTTCATTGGAATTAACCATGGAGTTTTCAGAACAAAATCTATTTCGATTTTGAACCTTCTATCTTTTCTTCTTCATCCAAAGATAAATAATAATGATCGAATAAAAATATATATAAAAAGGTTTATCCATATGAAAAAACAGATGATAAAGAAAAAAACAAAAGCAATTAATGTTTCGATTAACTGTACTGTACATATTATTTTAAAATTTGCCTCCATGTCCAATAATGAAAAAAAAAAAACAGAATATAAGAGATAACTCATAAGAATGTCGAGAATGCAAAGAGTGTGTGAGAAAGGCTTTTATATTTCCAAAAAAAAAAAAAAAAAAAAACTTTTATGTCCAAAGGCCTCAATTGTCCTAATAAGCATATTAGCATATATTATAGGATTTTGCTCAAAAGGATCCAACCGTCCAAATTCTCAATATTTATCTCGCAGTTTTCTTTTTTTTTTTTTTTTTTTTGAGATATATTTTTTTTAATCTCATTTAACATTGTTTTTTAAAAGCCCAAAACATCTCACGAATGGTGAGGAATTGATTTTTAATTATAAATGTAATTCATTTCTCTGAATTTTTTTTATTATTACATTAATAAATTTTGATTTGGAATTTATATATATATTTTTTTTGAATTATTTTATATTTGTGAGGATTTTAAATAAAGTTCGTTTTTATCGGTACTGTAGCGTTAAAAAAAAAATATTCAAAGTAAATTATAAGAAATATATATCATCACATAATATCAGATAAGATTGGATGAAATCTTATAAATTTAATACCTTAATAAAACCAATATCTTTAGAGTATTCACGGAAGCATTGACGACAAACATTTAGATTATATTTTCGGATTAAGCCTGCTTTGTGAGCGCAAACACGACTTTTATTTTTTTTTTTTAATAATAAAAATAACAAATTTTTAAATCAGTACATGTTTTATACTCTGAAGAATAAAACCAATTATTTCAAATTCTACCATTCGCGTGAGCCTTTTCCGTAACGACGAGGACGAGAGAACCAAACTGCATCGTGTGCCATCTTTTATTAGATTTTAATTACTTTATTAATTACTTTGTTAATTAATAAAAGAATGTATCAATAATTCAAAATTTTTTTTATTTTTTAATGAAATTCGACGGTTATTGGTTTAATCCAGAAAAGATAAATTTATTTCACGAGATAACGATTATCACATGATATTAAGTCACATTTTTGATAAATTCTCTAATCTACTCGTTCCGATTTCCCATGAGACACATAAATATTCTTTGTTCTCGTACATTTACCAGTCTCTTGATCTATTTTTCGAGACCCGAGAAAGGAAAGAAATGAGAAGCGTTAAAAGGAGAGTATAGTAATGTTTTATTTTGCAGTATAATTTTCAAAAAAGTTCTTGACCTCCTTATAACATTTCCAATAGATTATATTATGTCCTTTTCAGTTCTCAATGAAATAATGGAGGACGATCCATTAATAAAAAGAATTGTGGGTTATAGTTCACCAAGCAGTTAATGAATCAAATATATATATATATATATGAGGGAAACACAATGCCAATATGAGGATTTTGGGACCATATAACATTTGTGTGTCTGGCCTCTCTCGAACTTTATTCTGCTATAGCGTTAGTTTGATATATATATGTATGCAATATCGATTAAATCTAACCAATTTCGAATTTGACATCCCCTTTAAAATATAAAAATTCTAATGAAAAAATATAATATTTATCAAGAACGTGCTCTAGAAGTTTTAGAATCCTCTATAAACTATATACATTCCCTTCATTTTCTGGTGAAAATAGAGGTTAAATTACTATACGATTAAAAATCTACCGAAAATTAGTAGATCAGGAGAGGGTTTAGGACAGAAAAAAATATGTGATGCAATATTTTTATCAATTTGCTTCACAAATTAAAAAAAAAACCCCCCAATGTAAAAAAAATTCATGAAATATATATATTGTAAAAGTTATTTTATGAAGACACCATTTATAATTAAATAGATGAGTTAATCTTGTGGTTTAGTATAATTGAGGCCTACCAAATCATCACGATCTTTCAGGTAATTTCTGATGTTCGAGGATGTAACGAATGGATATAAAGCCCAACTCGAATTATTACTATAAATACCAGGGAGGTGTTTTAAGATGAGTTGATGTATAACGCCCCCGGATGCCAACTTTTTACTTTCTGGATTTTCTAATATATTCCAGTCCCAATATGCCAAATTATGTTGGTTAAAGTCATCCGTACAGAAGCGATCATTGCGCACGAGATTAACTGCATCTGACAGAATAGCACGGCTAACGGTATACGGAAGTGCGATCATTGAACCGATATTTGCACCAGGTTTGGTCTTTTCTGACATGAGACCAGGGTACAACTCGACATTCTCAATAGAACCACCGTAAAGACTTTTAAGTTTATTTACGACAGTAAGATCACTAGGATTGCCCATCATGTCCTCAATTGAATCGTAAGGTTTCAATTTCAGGAACCGACGAAAATCGTTGAGACTACATACTCCTAAAGTTCTGGCCGATTCAATACCGTAAACTTCTATGACACGGAGAATCCTAGGAATACCATTTGCTCCGAAAGCACCTGTCCAATATGCACGTGATTGATGTAGTCATTACTAATTTTCATCGAGAAGATTAAATTTTAATGAATATTATGGAAAAGTATTATTTGATTCTTACCAGCAACCTTTTCTGTTCCATTGATGATCTCTTTTGCGATTTTATTATTTGGAAACTTGCCTTCTTCATCTCGTGTCATCCCATTAAAAGTCCATTTGGATGGATCTTCGTTCAGTGTAGTTGCCCAGTTTCTTACCTTCTCCTTGAATTCATCAATAGTCTGTTTTGGACAATAGTATTAACACATACAATTCTTTCAACTTGTAAGGAACAATTATATAAACTAGCGTTCTTACACTTTCTGGAGTTATTCCTAAACGTTTAAACTCATCCTCGGCCCATTCCGCATCTTTCTCTGCGATAGCCGGGTGCCATCGGTAGATAAAGTTGAACTCCAAGGATACTTGGTTTCCAACCCCAGTAGGTAGTTCTGGAAGCAACCAGGATTTTTCGTATGGCTTTGTTGGATCAAGGTACCATGAAGATTTAGTTGTATCAACACCAAGGATAGTACGAACGTAATTTAAGAGAACAATTTTCAGTAAATATCCACAATTAATTAATCGCGCAGTTTGAAAGAGATCTTCGTCCGAATTATTGAATCGATCTGGATTTTTTTTAAGAAGTTCGCCTGCAATATAATTATGATTCCGTGAAAAAAGGATCAACATAGCACCTACACCGGGTGGTTGTAACAGGATTCGTGAGTCAGCAAATGTATCTGGTTTCAAAAGACCATCTTTAAAGGTACGAACGGGTTGTTGCCTTTCATTAATTTTACTATTTCCGTACAGTGGAGTAAGGTCGATATATGAGGAATTACGGTTGATAGTGGGGTCTCTAGGATCGGTATTGAATAAATCATGTGTAATAATCGTAGCCAGATAGAACAACGTTGCACTGATACCAGAAGGGTGCGCCTTAAATGTACTACGCTCCAATATACTATCAAATATTGCTTCCGCTGTGGGGGGAGTTTGGCTAGGAAGGTTCTGAATGCGGGCTGAACGTGCATATTGAGTACCAGCCATTCCAAGTGTAGAGGAATCAAGTCTGAGTCTGCTATAGTCAGAACCATCAAAACTACGATAGCTGTAACCAGCAAACATAGTGGGTGGTTTCATGATGTCATTCCATAGTAGCGTAAGCAGAATCCTTTCCAAAAGAGGCCAAGGTTCTTTGTTCAAAACTTTAACTAGTTCCTCTAGCTATAAAAGTACATACTTCACTACCTCAAGTTATATAATTCTCAAAAAAAAAAAGTGCCAAAAAAAGACTTACAAAAAATTCCGAATCATCTGTAGGACTTTTTCGAGCAAGAAATACAATAATTAATTCCGGGATGTTTTCTTCGAAATTTTCCTCCAATAACTTTACTAATTTTCCACCTTTCTTAATTCGTTCAACATGTTCCTTAAAAATTTGATAAATTTCTATAATTTCTTTAATGTCTTTCAGTTTACCCATCTTGGTAACAAATAGACCAAAGAAACAATAGGAATTATTGTATTTATATACAATTATCGATTGCACACCGTATATTGAAAATCCCCCAAAATTTGGTGTAACTTAATTTCTAGAAACTTTTTGTATTGTTATCAAAAGCATCAAAGCATTTTGTTATGAGAAAACTCCGGATTTGGAGAATTTGGAGTGACTTCTCTCAATATATACCAAAACCATAATCAATAGAGCCATATAGAAATTTCTTAAATGGAAGGTATACCGTTCAATTTTTTTCCTTGCACAAGACCTGTCAGACAATCCACAAATAATAATCATAATCATAATAAACATACCTGCATTTTTATTTTATGGTCGGATAATATTTATTTTCCAAACTTACTTCCACACTGTCACAATTTATGCCTAACTTCGGTGTTTTTGGATAATTACATAATTAGTTTCTTTTAGAATGTTCAATGCAAAATTTTGCAGTTGTATACATCAATAACACATTCTTGTCTTTTTGTTTTATATAATTATTAAAATAACATTTATGACCAACATTTCAATCATGATTGACGAAATTAATAAAAAAAAACAGTAAATTACACGAATCGCTCAACAGGTACATTGTTGACGATTATAATATTCATCAGAGGTAATACGAGAAGAGTAATGTACGAGCCCTAAAAATAGAGTTGTTAGGGTCAAAGGACTCGATAGTTAATTTTTTAAGATTAGGGTTAATCATGTGTTAAAACACCTTTCCCCTTAATTGTGTATTCCGGATTTGTGTAACGTTCATCATGCCGACACGTTATAATATTTGACGCGTTATTTTTTTAGATTTGACTCTATAAATTATTATTTTACTAGAGTGAAGATTACTACAATGTCTAATGCTTCTGAAAAGGACGGATTTGATTACTTTACTAAGACTTCGGTATGCGTTTAGGATCCGCTAGGCTATATATTTTTTGGAAAAGTACCGTATCAGTCACACCAGATAAAGCAACGGTATCAAGAATTTTTAATGATCAAGTCGAATGGTTAATAGCAAACGAGCCGAAAGCGAACAAGAGAAGGCAAAATATCTAAAGAAACAGTTTAAAGTAAGAATATATTGGCTGTAGGGACCCGTGAGACTTCGTCTCCCGCACGGTACTCCTGCTACAATCCTTGCAACCACATCGCAATTATGTATAATAACTACTTTCCTAGACTGATTCACAGAAAGGTGGTCGAATATATCTTTTCTGGGGAGAAGAAATGCACGCTAAAAGTATTGACGAAAAGGTTCTTGAGCAAGAGAACATATTACCACAAGCAAGTGGTAATAACGACTCGAAGGTAAACTTTAATGTTAACAGTTGGAAATATATTCAGCAGGCTCACTATATTATCCTCAATGGGATCAACAAAAAAATATAGATGTGGGTATCGTTGAAAAATTTTATAAATATCAAAGAACAATCCCAAAAACCCGTAGATATGAAAATTACTCTCATCAAAACGTCTAATAAATTCGAAATTATTTATGGAGAGGTATCAGGAAGGTTGGGTTCGCTTGGAATACCCACTGCCTGTCGTAAAAAGCGTTATATTGACAAGGTAAAACTTATGATAATAAGACTTCTAAAAGAATGTAAGCACGTATCATTCGAGAAGCGTACAAATTTGATAGTGTATGGATGGCTTCAAATCGGTAAGTTTTGTCAACATTTATTTATGTAGATTTGGTTTAATATATAGGTCTAGAACTAAACTTCTATGCCATGGACTGGTCAGGAGCTGATATATAGATTACCGTCCGAATTTAGGATACTTGAAGACGCGTACTGTATCCTTAAATTACTTGAAGTGGTATTCATTGCTAATTGGTATTACTATAAATAAATGTTAAAATAAGTCACTTGAAATCGAGAAAGTAGTCAAAAATTATTTTTAGAAAACACAGGGTAAACGACGGCAAATTGCATCCGAAATTGAAGCTGAATTGAATGAGAATCGTTCACCTGTAAGATAAAATTAAATTCAATAAAATGTAACATGTATGAATTTTTATCTCAAAAGTTTTAATAAAATCGTTATCAAGAATTCGCCATCATACGATTTACATTTTATCAAAAAATTCTCTCCTGTGAACTCTGTTTCATGAATATTAATAATTGATTCGAATCGTATTTGTATATATCACTTGCAAAGAAATTTTACAGACCTCAGGTCATTCAAATTTTCCAGGGCAAAAATCTTTTTATTAGTTAATGCCTTTAATTTCAAATAAAAATCACATCGCTTTTTTATTCGTATAAAAAATAGTACATTTATTTCCGTAAACATATGCGGGAAAAAAACTATCTAACCCCTATTTTCTTGTAAAATTTTTTATTCTGGCTCTTTTACTGGCTGGAGAATTATTGATACTAATTCGGTCTTTTAATAACCCCACAACAAAACCCATCACCTGTTTCACCCCTTTTCAAATTGAGTCAAAATCTTCTTTCAATACTGTTTTGAATAAATTAATTTGATATTCGCTTTTACTGGTGCAATAAAGGCCATCGGTAGCAAAAGCCATTCCGTAGCTAAAAAAAATAAATTTGTAAATCAAAAAATTCTATTGCGGGAATGGTTGGATATTAAAATCTATCAATACCTGTAGAGACTATTCTGTAAAGATAGTCATAATCATCATCTCAAAATGCTTGATCCGCCGTACGTTACTTTTTGTTTGTATGATATGCACTTTCTAGTTGCATGATATTCTGGAGGTAACCGATTTCGATGTTACGAGGTTTTCCTTCAGCTATACACATAAGATCTTCGTTTTCTTTTATTGCATAATCGACACGTCCAGATGCCTCTTCACTGGAAACTCCTTTTTGGTATGATATATAGATTTTTCTTCATTGGTAAGTCTTCGGACGATAGCCAGAGATGCGTTTAATATTGACGTAACGTGTAGCTTCATTGGCATTAGGTTGCATTGTAATTTCATTCATGCATTTTTCGAGTGCTTTATCATCACCATCGATTTTCTCAAAAAACTATAGAACAAAAAATACTTATCAACCTGATGTATAACGCTATTAAAAAAATCAAATAACTTCCTTGATAATTTACCTGGATTAAATTGCTTAATACATGTAATCTCCTCCCCATTTACTTGTATTTTCTTAAGACTTCTTTCAATTCTTCCAACATTTATATAACGAGAAATTTCTGATTTTTGTTCTTTGAGATCCGCAATAAACTTTGCAAGTTCTGTTGCTGGTCCTACCATTCCCCATCTTTCTAACTTTCTTCTGTTAACTCCAGAAAAGAAAAACCTGAAATCTTTTGTTTACATAAAATCGAGAAATCATCATTATCGAGATCTAAATCTTCCTGCCTCCATGCGATAATATGAGTAAGAAAATGAAAAAATTTTAGTTTGTTTTTTGGATCATTTTATAGTATATTGATTGAAGGCCCAAGGGGAGTAAGCATTTCGTGAATAGATCTGATGTGGAGGAGTAGAGGGTTGAAACCAATCTTCAATTCTTGTTCGTTTGGGAACTTTGTTATAGTCCTAAAGATTAAGATTGTAGATTTATTAGGAACAAATGCAAAATAATAGTTATAGCTAAAAAAATATGTACCTGATTATCATGAATATCCCTTTTAAAGAAACGATCCCATTTATAGTTCTGACCGTTTGCTGTTTATAGTCATTCCATTGATAGTTCCATGAAGATAAATGTGATTATGTGAGTGTCGACCCTCCCACTCTCTAGCCAGTTTGCGATCTGGTTTATCATCCTAATGAAAAAGATTATTTCCATATCCGCCAAATCAGCTCGAAGCCTTTAATAACAAAACAACCTCGAAGACCATTCTGCGCTTGATGGAGCCAGTGCCAGGTCGGCTCGAAGCCTTGAATACAGGTAACCTCGAAGGGTAAAATGCGTTCCAACAACACTGTCTGAATGTCAGACAACCTCAAAGGAATGGTTCACTATGTTCCATTCAGAAACTTTGCGTTCGAAGTATTTATACACATTTCCTGGCACTGAAGGTAATGCGAATTAAAACATATGGCCTTACGAGAAAGTGTAAGAAGGAAGAACTTATTGCATAATAACGCGCTACAACAAAAGAAAAAATAATAACGTTAAAACTATTACGCGAGATTTTTTTTTCACAAAAGAAATCAGATTATCACTTGCCCTGGGCAATCGTGACAGGAACGATGATTTTCTGTAATTTACAGAACAACGCAGAATTTTTATAAATCTATACTACTAAGTCTCGGTTGTAATGCCCCTGAAAATTTCCTTTCTTGGCAAGTTCAATTTATGGTCCCCTGTCGGGTTGTTTTTTTTCTATTTCTAATTTAGAAGGTTTCACCGATTGCAGATGAAAACTAAAATCTAAATATATATTTCAAGGAGTTTCTTAAGAATTAAATGTTTCACAGATGAGCAATTTTATTATTTATTATGTATTCCCTTTTTTGTATGGATAATTCGGATATATAATAGATTTTTCAGGATATTGTTTATTTGAATAAATCAAAAAACGTTAAAGGATCTAACAGAATAGATGGAAAAGGTAAAATTTGAAGAAAAAATCTGGTTTTGTACATGAATTAAGGAAATAGTTTTTTTTTCTGTAATGATAAAAATAAATAAAAAAATTTTTAAAATTCCATTTTTATGTTTTATATTTCTCGGTAAAAAATATTAATATAATTGTTTCACATTTATTACAAATAAAATAAAATTAAAAAATAAAAGATTTTGTAAGCATACTATTTTTATATTTTCCTGTGGTTAAAGAGTTTGTTGTTTTTTATGTTTTGTATGAAAAGAAATAGATATGAATATTCGGATGTTGTCACCAGTGGTCTTTGGTTTTCTCAAGAACCACCTAATAAAGTGACTCAATGGTTCTTTTAAGGAGTTTATAGTTCTTTCCTGAAGGTAAGACTATTGTTTCATCATTTTAGAAGACACCACTGATTCAATTATTTTAGAAAGGGAATCAGACCTTTTATCCAATTTATTCCAATATCTTTTCAAGTTTATCGTCATCCTTAATATTAAAATCCATCTGTTAATTATCTTTTAATTTCATCAACTTTGAATATCATCTTCAATTATCCAAGTTAATTATTATTCCAGGTCCAGGGTTTATTATAATAGTTTATCATTAATTTCATTAACTCAGGAATAATAACATTATACAATTATACAACCAAGTATTTAATCCCATAATATTCATTATTCCTTTATTAACTACATATTATATCACTTAATAATTATTTTTATAGTTTATATTTTTATTTTCAATATTTATTTTATTAATTCCATTGTAAGGTAATTTTTACAAGTATTTATCTTGGAGTTACAAATTATAAAATTAAATTTATCAATTTCAAATAAGTTACAAATTATCAAAATTCAAAATTATAAAATTGTAAAACTAAAGAAGGGCAAGGTGATTTCAGTCCCTTTTTATATCTAAATTTTGTAATCTTCATTACTGTACCATTACTGTGCCTACTATGCCTTACTGTATACTATTATTATTGGTTACTATTATTTACTAAATATTATTGTTAAATAATATTAAGTGATAATAATTAATATTATGGATTGATAATTATGTTTGTATAACTAAATATCACATGAACACATGATCTTGTACTACTATTTCGTGACTACTTAATGTGTATTATAGACTATAAATATTTACTAAAAATTATTAAAATGTTACTATTTGTTATATGAGTTAATATTCACTAATTAAATTTTAAATATTATTTTAAAGGTCATTATTAATTATTGCAGGTGTTTTTAATATTATATTATCATTATATTTTCATTCTGTAACAATGTGTTATCTGTATTTAACATGTAGTGATGAAATTCAGTCTATTTCTAAAATAAGTAGCCTTGCGAATGGTAGAAGAATTTAGCATGTAACCAATATAAGAAGGAAATGTAAAAATCGAAAATAAGAAAGAGAAAACTGTAAACTTTCAAAACAAAAACAAAAAAATTATGTATGCCAGTATTATATATATCACTGAAATATATGAATGGTTAATGGTGTAAAGAATTTTTTTAAATCTGTTCAGTTTAAAAGACTTCAGCTCCCCACTGCAACATTTTACAAGGTATGTGAAACTAAGAAATTTATTGAAAAACCTTTAAATTTATGTTATACAAATGGAAAAGTTATATTAATAGAAACTGGCATACCTGAAATAATAAAAAACTTATTTATTAGAAATAACAATATTGGAGTTATACATATTATCCAAATTTCAAATTATTTTGATATTTCAGTTGTCAAAATTTAGTTTTCATAATATTTGGAATTTGAGATTTGATATAATTTGGGATTTGAAATTTTGGCAATTAATAATTTGAGATTTAGGATTTGAGATTTGGAATTTGGAATTTGGAATTTGGGATTTGGGATTTGAAATTTGAAATTTGGAATTTGGGATTTGGGATTTGGGATTTGGAATTTGAACAGCACCTATAATTGGAGTAAATTTTCAAAAAAATATTTGTACTTATAATTCTGTTTTGCCTTTACATCTATGGAGATAAAACTTGATAAAGAGTTGGCTAACGAATGAAATAGAGTTTATTGTTTTCGTGTCCAAGATAGAATCTATCATGTGATACTTGATTTCTTTTCAGATAATAGATTTCTATCACATTTCTTTTAGCTCTATATTTACGACACCAAACATGTTGACAAAAATAGGTTAAAAATTATATCTTTATTAAATCAAGACACAATTAACAAAATTAGATGTATTTTAAACAATATTAATCCTTTTGTTTTGAACTTCTAATATCTTTCTAAAATTCAAAACCTTTCACACTGCAAACTCATTATTAAAGTAAACTCAGGTCTTGATTAACATGTATAAAATATTCCAACTGTCTCATAAGTAGTAACCATTTGGATCAAAGGAATTAATCCTATTGAAATACAAAAATAGAATATAATCATTATTCCACG